TTAGATTAAGTTCCTTAACAGCCGCCCAGTATATCAGCAGAACATGGCGCAGGTCACTGTCCAGTCAATGTGCGCGAAGAACAGGACAGAAACAAGTTAGCAATTATTCTGGCTCCCGATACAGGTCGCCTTCCTGTTTTGCTAGTCGCACGACAAGATATATAGCCCCAATATAATCCTATTGTATTACAGTAGTTTCCGTTTTCTTTTCCATTATCCCGATATAGCCCGAATATATAATAGAATAATTGGGCAGCACCAATGGTGAGCACTCCAATGCAATGGGCTTGGCCCAACCCTGCTGTACTCCACCTGAATTAAGAATTCATGAGCTCAAGGCATTAGTCTTTGCTGTATGCCTGATTATGAAGTATGAACAAGGCCGAGGTGTTGCGTAGGATCGGATTTGGATTAAACTCTTCACAGTTCGGTCACAAGGAGCTTTGCTTACTCCAACCCCGAAATGTCAAACCCGTCAAAAGCCCCAAGCCAAGCCCCAAACCCTAAGCATGCAACCTACAAATCCCCATAACCCTTCCGGAGCTCTGAGTTCGTTTTATTCCCTATAGGTTTTACGTGGCTTTGGTATAATACGCACCAAAACCGTATTGGGCATATGTAAGCTTCTAGATGAGATCTCCCAAATGCGATGAGGCGATCTCGGCAATCGGATCAAAGCGCGTCGACAGGCTGGCCAGGCGCCCTTCGAGGGGCCCTTCCTGCAGCAACTAGAGCAGCACAGGATTCAGGAGTTCGAGGTGTTTTGTGGTTTTGGGGTTTCAGGTTCAGGGGGCGGCCAGGAGTTTGAAGAATTGTTTGGTTTAAGGTTTAAGGTTTTGAGATTCCCTGAAATGAGAGTTGCAAACGTGGAAACAGAAGTGTTTGAACAAATAGGGTACATGATGAAAAGGCCCCAATGATGGCAGGTAGCTTGCTTTGCTGCGTCAGGGGGGAGATGTAGGCATGTAGTGATTAGAGTTCCAGCTGCAATGGCAGCAAGTAGTCACGGTAGCGGTGCCGGAGTAGCCGGTCTTAAGTGGCGAGCTACACCAGTGTGATTCCCTGCCAACAAGTACAGGTTCAGTTGAAGTTCAAAAGGCGGAGTTGCGCCACAAGCTTCTCATCCAGTCCTTAATCAATTTCAATGAAGACTGCAAGCAAACAGATGGGCTCATTCTTAGGCTGTGAGATCCTTGCAGCATCTGTTTCTGGGAAGATTGCATGCTTTGCACAGCCATTTTTGCTCCTCTCTCTACGATTGCAGAGTAGCCTGACGCACACGCATCATCAATGAAATTGTCAGGACAGGATCTTCATGTGTTGGAGGCAGACCTCCACCATTTCTGCTGCATCATTGCAGATGCGCACAAGAAGGACGGTGTGGTTGCGGACGTCTTCACGCCGCTGATCAATGATGAAATCCTGTCATATCTTGCAGTGAGATTTCGGACGTCGTCTGTCATTGCAAGCAGGTGCGACCATACATGTGCCTTGAAACCGAATGGGTCCTTGGTGTGCTTTGGCCGGAATGTCCGCGGCCAATGCACCGCCCCTGCAGATTTGGGTCCTGTGGTAGCAGTTGCAGCCGCTTTGGATCATACCTGTGCCTTGCAGGCAGATGGCCAAGTTGTTTGCTTTGGGGACAACCGCTTTGGACAATGCAACGTTCCCCATGACCTTGGGCCGGCAGTGGCAATCGCTGCGGGCTGCGGGCACACATGTACCCTAAAAGCTGATGGCCAGCTGGTTTGCTTTGGGGACAACCGATTCGGCCAGTGCGACGTGCCAGAGGACCTTGGTTCTGTAGCAGCAGTGGTTGCAGGATGGTACCACACCTGCGCCTTGAAAGCAAATGGGCAACTTGTGTGCTTTGGCTTCAACGAGGATGGCCAGTGCGATGTTCCAGCCAATCTTGGGCCCGCCGTAGCCGTGGCTGCAGGATGGTATCATACCTGTGCTGTGAAGGCGGATGGGCAACTGGTGTGTTTTGGGAACAATGACTGTGGCCGCTGCGATGTTCCGACAGACCTTGGTGCAGTCATGGCGGTGGCGGCAGGAGAGGAGCACACCTGCGCAGTGAAGACGGACGGTCAGCTTGTTTGCTTTGGGAACAATAGGTCCAGGCAGTGTGATGTACCCGCAGATCTCGGCCCAGTGGAGTTTGTTGCAGCAGGATACCTCCACACCTGTGCAGTGACTGCCGCTGGGAAGGTTGTCTGCTTTGGGGACAACATGTTCGGCCAGAGTGATGTGCCGACAAGCCTTGCGCCTGGGGCTGCAATGCCCCCTTTAAATGCGGAACGCCTCGAGAATCAGCATGGGGACGCAGCTCTCATATGAGAGCCTGAAGTGGCAACGGACAAATACCAGTTGATGCGCGCCTTAGCGTCAGAGCGTTCGAATTGAGCAGTGCCATGCTGGTGTTTGCTCTTCGTTTGGGTACCTAGTGCAGTAATGCATCGTTATTAGCCCGGGCAGTGTACAGACCTCTGAATCCATTGAAGCTTCATGCATTGAAGCTTGCTGGCACAAACTCGAGGTTTGTTTCATGACTTTGTAGTTGTTTGGGCACGTCCATGTATAACTGCAGCTCATGTACCCTAGTTCAGAAATCTTACCATTCCGGGTTGTTTGCAAAAGTGTTCCTTTTCTGGGGTTCTTCCGCGAAGAGATCCGATATGCATCTGCAAATTGGGCCCTCTGAAACCCATAATAGAGGGGATTCATGTTTTGAGAATTCCCCAACAAAGCTCTAGATAATGTAGACCCGTGATTAATATTAAACCCGCTTCTTTTAAGGGCCTTAATTAATGTTACGATACTCATTATAGTCACCATTAAGGGGGAGGGCGTTTATTAACAAACCCTAAACCCAACTAGGGGTCTACATTGTCACATTATACCTCAGAGTGCTGGCCGGTACGCACAAGACAGCAGGTCTGACTGACAAGTCAAGCTCGTTTAGCCATTCGAGCCATAGTCCAAATTCCTGAGAGGGGGATTATATCAGGGATTATACAGGGTGTAGGGTATAGGGTTTAGGGTGAAAACTCCTTAAAGGCGGGTTATATAGGGGAGTACTATAGGGGTTATGAAGGGGGATAATAGGAGAATAGACTATAGCTCATTCGTCAAAACAGAACCTTCAATCTGCTCCAAGGGTTCCGGGATGCTTCTGGACCCAAATTGTTGGACATTCCTGCCCTGTAAATTTAAGTAGTCACTCCTTTTATAGGAGCCCAACTATGTTGGGGAGAGCGTATTTGACACTAAGTAGCAGGAAGAGGGCGTAGAGTGGAAACAGGACCTGCGGTTTTGACAAAGTCTTATTTCGGACCTTCTCAAAATTTGACCCCGACATGATCCACAAGGGGCACAGCAACGATCTTTCCATTACCAGGTCCCTTGGGAGCTAGACCCTAGGGTTTAGGGTTTAGGGTTTAGGGTAGAGTACTGTACCCGGATTTTGAGAAAGTCCCATTTAAATTGCATGCTGTGGCCACTGCGCCAGCAGCCGCAGCGCGAGGCCGCTGCACACCATGAGGAGGGAATGTTAAGGTGGGAGCTATCTATAGGATGGAGGGTTTAGGGTTTGAGGGTTTAGGGTTTGAGGGTTTAGGGTTTGAGGGTTTAGGGTTTGAGGGTTTAGGGTTTGGGGTTCGATCATCATAGCAAAGTAACCCAACATGGAGAATCACATTGAAAGGAACAAGGAAAATGAGATGGAAGCGGGGGCTTAGGGTGTAGAGTAGGGCATGGATCCATAGAAACCTACCAGGGGCTATCTAGGGCCTAGCGATTATCAGGATGCAATAAAAAATGTGGGGGTATCTAGGGATAGTACACCAGTGATGGAGAACCAACTGGAAAAGAAGATGGAACATTACATGGAAACTCGGGTTGCATAGGGGGATTGTAAAAGGGTACCAAGGGAGTTTTGGTTACCCCAATCCCTATAATAAGAAGAAGCTTATGGAGTTGCATGATCGTCATACTGGAGGTTAGGCTACCCAGCCTCATGACTAATCTAGGGTTCTGCGGTTTCGGGTTTGGGTTCTAAGGAAGGGAGGGAGCTACCCAGAGTGCCCAAGACAGCTTCATTGAAAGATATACCCTAAGTGCTTTTAGGATCTCTAGCATGATTTAAGAAATCTTCCAGTGGGCTTAGGGCCAGCCGATTTGGGTTTTAGGATTTGGGTGGGCAAAATTCTGCGCGAGCTTTCGACAAAGTGTCGTAGCTTGGGAATGGGGATTAGGATTGAGCCTCTTTACCAAGTTTCAGTCACGCCCCGGAAAGGATGATTTACAACCGCAAATAGTCAATATTCCCAAGATGGCATTCTCATATCAGCTATAGTCTAAATTGCTTAAAAGGGGTTATGTAGGGGATTATATAGGGGACTATTCTAGGGATTATTACGGAGGATACTAGGAGTTTAGATTATAGCTCATATGAAAGCAGAGTATCTCTTAGTGGGGTGGTCGGGGCTTCTATTATGTGGGGGGGCGTGAGAGGTACCCTTACTTTAGCCGGGCATCATCACAGTACTCCCCGACGAATAGAGGGATTGCCAGCACTCCTCCTTCCATCCTTGGTAGCAATCCATCATAGACCAGCAACAAACCCCATTCAGTCTGAGGTTTCTTGGCTACACCCTGGTGCATACCCTGACAAGCCCCTACCTACGCAGGATCTCCTCTGGCAGTTCATGAATCAACAATCGGATGTCAACACTGCTGGGGGGACTTCTATGTAATTGAGTACAGCCTGTTGCTCAAGCAGCAGTATCTGACAGGGTTTCAAAGCCCAGCAAGACGGTTGACAGCCCAGGATTTCGGCTTAGAACGTGGGCTTGTAGCGATCACATTCCAGTTCTCGTCTGTATGTCGCGCATGGTTGTTGTCGAAACATGCCCAGGTGCCGCAGTAGGGAATGGACCAGAAATTATGTGCAGAGTGGAGAAAGCAGATGAAAATAAGTCATGAAGCCTGGGGTTCTAGGGGGCGGGTACATGTAGAAGCAGCAGACCATACCTGTACTGTGGATGACCAAATCCTTCATGGTCCCATAAAGCTAGCTGAAACCCTACGGGTTGTCTTAGTGCAGTGTGCTTAGAGCCATTCAGGGCTTTGTCTTGAGTGGCGACTTCGTCCAATTTTTTGAGGGTCGCAGCTGGAGACGGTGGCTTTAGAGCACTTGTTGAGAATTATTTCCTGTCTCCTTCTGAAAAAATAAGGTTTTGGAGTGAGTTCCTATAGTTGTAAGGGTAACCTATTTTGGGGTATGTTTGGAAATTCCCGAAGGTCTGCACCTTCAAAGTTTTTATCAAGCGAGACTTGCACTTCTGCCTAGGCAAGAATTAAATGAGGAGTTTTCAGGCGATCCAAGACGAGGGATCTTTGCGTGGACCTTGGGGAGGGGGGTGGGGGGATGTGCTTAGGGCTGCAGATCCACATGACATGAAGCCAGCCCACGGGTGCTTGGTTCAACTACGACGACGACGACGACGACGACTACTACTACTGCTACTGCTACTGCTACTGCTACTACTACTACTACTACTATTACTACTACTACTACTTTTATTATTGCTACTACTAACATTAATACTAATACTAACAATAATATTCCTAAGGCTTTTTGCTACTACTGATGCTGCTGCTGCTGCTACCAGTTGCTACTACTGCAATTCAATTCTCACTATTACTATTACTAGTATTACTATTACCATAATCAGCATTAGCATGATTATCATTAGATAGCAGGTTCTGTATCATTACTACTACACTGCTATTACTATTGCTATTAATACAAGTGTCATTACGATCGTGACTAGAGCAATTACTAGTACTAGAACTATTAAAGCTACTGCTAGTACTCCCTAAACCCTAAACCCTAAACCCTAAACCGCGTGGCTAAGGCATGTGCTATCCTCCGTGGGCGGCGCTCTCTGCTACATTCACTCCCAAGGAGTGCTACACCGCGATGCTCCTTGCCCCTGTGGTTTTTTCTCACCCGAGGGCCCCTGAATAACCCCTGGGAATGCAGGGCAGTTATCAAGAGATTCTAGCGGCTCCCTTACAGATTACACTGGCACCATTCTGCGAAGCTCCCAGTTACTGTCACTTAATTCCGTCGATGGGGGAACCGTGCGCCACCCTTTTGAGTTTCCTCCAACTCACGAAGTGAAAGGCATGAGGGCCCAAACAGGGCCCCACGGAGATGTTCATCGTGAAAGCTAGCGTTGGCCTTCTGACAGCATGATTACTGCAGGAACCCAAGCTCTGCAATGTAGAAGCCTGAAAAAGAAGAACAAGACCCACCAATAATTTCATCCCAACAAACCTCTACATAAAAAAGGTTCAAGCCATTATTGCATGATTTTCCATGTGATTCTTGTCATTCGATGTAAGTACTCCAGCCCCACACTTCGTACGCCTTAGCCCTAAGCCTTATACACCAAAACTCTAAACCCTATCAGTACCTACATCCACTAAACAAAGCCCTAAACTCTAAATATTTAAGAACAAATACATCTTCAGGTCAAGCCCCCAAACATCCTGGTCAGCCACACCCTCCATGAAGTCAAGCTGGCAGACTTTGGGATCTCCAAAATCCTGGAAACTTGGTCAGAAAAAACTGGCGTTCAGGTTTTGGGCTATAGGGTTATAGGCATTGGGGCGTAGGCTTAGGGTTGTATAGGGCTGTGGGGTTTAGGGCTATGGGATTCAGGGAAAGGGTAGAGACCAAGGTAAACTTGGTTGCGGTCGTTCTCTGATCCCTACACAGCCCTTTTGTTCTTTATGGTTTTGCTACAGTATAACCCATCCAAGAAGCGTATTCTGATTCCTAAGTCCGAAGACCCCTCTATTCCGAACAGCGCGTCAGGCTTCCGGTGCATGGTTTACCAAGACCATTTCTTTTGAGCACAGCTTTAATTGGAAAACTCCATGCGTGTAGTTGAAGATAACGAGGACAAAGTGGTCTGAACCTGCTCCATACACGGGCTTAGCCTCAATCCAGAAGATCTTGGACATGCACGTACACTTATACATAAACACCCTAGCAGTACAGGATCACCATACAACCCCTTAACCGAAATCGATAAACCCTATGACAGCACCTTCCCCCCATAATCGCCCTTGAACCCTTCTGCCCCTTTCCAGAGCTAACCCTAGTCCTTGTCTATATCCTTCATCCAAACGCCCGCATGCAACTCGCCGAGACGCATAGATCAAGAAGTGAGCCAGTTATGCCTGAGTGAGCCTAAGCCCAAACTCTACATAGTCAGTCCCCCTTAAGTAGATGAAATATGGGGTATATGGGGATCTTGTTATAATATGCCCAAAGCCGTATTCTATCTGCTTAAGGGAGACTACATACCTCATACCCATGTCCACCAAGCACTTCGCGCTACATGACAATCCCGCAACCTTAGCCCCCAAAACACAATTCCCTTCAAACTTTAGCTGAACTGTCAAACTCTAACCTCAAAACATCAAAACCTCAAAACCTCAAACCCTATGCGAGCGGAGTTCTACACTCAACTCTTTTCTCAATGGATCAAAAAAGGCCTGCATCGTAAGACGTTCCCCTCATGGTATGCTTCTGCTGGAGCGTGTTTCCACACTCCCCCTCGGAGTCTATCTCCGATCACGCAGAGCATAGAAAATTCACGGCATCTTCATGCTATCGGAGTCTCTCTCCGATCACGCGGAGCATAGAAAATTCACGGCATCTTCATGCTGTCGGATCACTTCAGCACCGTGTGCTGCTCAAAAGTAGGCTTATCGCAAAACTGCACAGTACTCCTAGGGGCCAAAGAGGTCCCCAGAACTGCTACTGTTCAGACTTCAGATCGCTTCGGATCTACAAAACGTCTTTAAAGAATTCAAGCTCAAGGCCTTTCAAGTAGCTGTGTTAGCTAGTTGTTTCGAATTTTCAATTACTGCGAGGCAGAGCTGGTCGAAGGCTCCGGCCCAACTTCCAGCTCCGTTCTTCCAGTCCAAGCTCTCAACATTGCCCGACGACTGCCCGCAACATCCCACTTGTCCTCGATCCACGGTATCTTTAAAGATGGCTCCCTGTACTGTATGTATGATCTACGCCGTCCCGTTAAACGGGAGAGTGGAATATCACTCGCTAATCCACCCCCCTGGGGAATGAACAGAAGCTTTCTCGGCTTGCAGTGCACTCTGATAAGGGTGTTTCGGGATGCGCTATAGTACCAGAAATCCTGGCCGTAACCTGTAGGGATTTCCTGATGGAATCTCCCGGAGTCCCCTCCCCAGGACGGGGAAGGCCCCAGTGCACTCCATAGAGCGAACACGCACCCTCCAGCCGGGAATGATGCAAATCTCCTCCGCCTCAGTCTGAAGGTGATGTGAAGTCGATCGCACCTCAGCTCTCTGAGGTAGTGACTGATTGTCAGCTTCATGGTCCTCATCATCATCCGATAGATTCTGCCGCACCCCCAATTCAGGAAGATCTGACTCCACGGTTGGTGGTGCCATCCCGGGTATCCCTTGGTAAGCCAAATCATCAGCATACGAAGCCACGACCCCAACTCTTCGTCCCTCAGCCACCACCTCACCCACGGCCCCTCGGTGTGCTCTAACCGAAGAGAGGACAGTGCCAACAATTTCTGAAAGAAGTCTGCGGCCATTGCCTCGCTCATTTCTCCCACTTCCCAGTTCAGCAGCGGTCGCTGACTCTAGGGGGTCCCTAGGGCTAGGGTAACTAGGGTTCTGTGGGCCAAGGTCAGCCAAGTCCCGGGTGCTTTGAGGTTCATCAACGACATCACTTCCATTGGGGTTCAGGTAATTTTCGGGTTCCCTAGGGTCTGGGGGAGCCGGGTAGGCCTCAGTATGGGACCTTCGGGTTCTCCTACGTAAACCCTGGACGTCACTCACCTGCGATTGGATGGAGGATTGGGTGGCCCGGCTCTAGCAACCTGTTCCCTATCTTGGGGGCTTGGGGTCCTATCCCTACTATCCCGTTCTCCCAGCCCTGCACTCGACAAGACTGACCAATCATCAGAATTATTCTGAGTCTCAGCCCTCATGCTTTGAATCCTCGGGCCTTCGCCATCTCCAACTCTCAACCAAGCACCAACTTTCAAGCCGCAACACAGCAACACAACCCCAAGCACCGCAAGCAACGTCACAAGCCAAGCTGTGGTACTCTTCTCCGGCTCGGAGTCCTCAATAGTAATGACCACCTTGCCCTGAGATCTCCTCAAACATGCCGCTGCAAGCAACAACTTCAACGCACGCTGTGTCAAGCTAGAGTTCGGGATCCTAGGGTCATTAGTAGCACCCTCACCCTCACGATCATCCAAGGAAGTACCAATCAACTCATGTTCAACCGCAACCACGCCAACGGAATCAGCACCTAGATTCTTCAACCTGCTTGTTGATTCAGAAGGAGTTTCGCCACCAGATTTGATTGGTACTCCCCCGGAGTCAACACTAAGGTTCTTGATTCCCGATTTGGACTCCCCCTCGACGTAGTCGACGATACTCATGCCCATCATGGCCAACAATTCTCGTATCCGTGTGGCCTGGAGAGTTTTTGTGCACAAATCTCCAAGCATATACTTCCCTGGAAGGTGATAGACATTGTACTTGTTGGTCTCCAACTGCTCAAAAAGCCATGCTGCTTTCAGTCTCAAGTGGCGTGTTCGCCAATTCCCCTGAGGAATTTTCATGACTGTAACAGCCCCCTGGTTGTCATTGTACAGGAAGGTCTTCGCCGGCTGATTCTCCAATTCTTGGATCAAAGGCACAAACCCTTCGGTCAAGGCCAACGCATCTATAGATGATTGAAGTTCAGATTCTGCAGTGGATAGTGACGCGCACGGTTGGCGCATTGAGAGCCAAGTTATGGGTACTTGATTCCATACCAAGATGATTCCTGTTTGCGACCTGTCATTTCCGGGAGCGAATGATGCATCCGCGTACGCTTCCAGTGCCCCTGCTCTATCTTGCAAAGGACCCACATCGGGGCCCCGTTCCCCACTCTGCACCTTGCCATAGATAATCTCGTAGTGCGTTGTGGAACGTAGGTACTTCAAGGCATTGTGGGACAACTGGATGGCAAACTCCACATTTCTGGTCACAAATTGTCCTACACGGCTGGTGACATAGATGAGGTCTGGACGGGTTTTTGTCGCTATCCGTAATAGCTCTCCAGCCAGTTTCTGAGCAAGACGAATCCTACTCAGATCAGGTTGCGGTCTGTCGTGTGACGGAACCTCGTCCGGTTCCTTCAACCCTGGCTGTGCCGCACCGCCACCGATGTCAGGGTACCTACTGAGGAGATCCAGGATATATTTTCTTTGGTGGATATGCGACCGATCCCCGCTGTCCAGGATTTCTAGGCCGCAAAAGAGGATTCCTCCCTCGTCGGATGCGAGTTGGGGTCGACTTGTCTCCCATTTCTTTTGGATTGCACTGAAGAGACTATCCAGGATTGCACGTGGCCCCGTAGCTATCATGTCATCCACATATACCCCGAGAAGGGCAGCCGGCCTTGCATCAAGATCACCTGCCGGTTTGAGGTACCAAAGATTTTGGTCTGCTTTGGATCTAACCAACTTGAAGCACTCTTCTCCATGAAAGATTTGAATCTCCGGGAGTTGAGAATCTCTGTAGGAAGACCATGCAGCGGGGGCCTCTCTGAGGCCATAAATGGCACCAGTTGCGTACCATAGCTCCTGTGGGTGTACTACGCCAGCGTTGATCAAAACCTTTGGCAGGTGCAACACCAGGATACGGTTGCTTTGCTCTAGCGGCGCCAATAAAAACGCGGTACGGATGTCTAAAGCTCCGGCAGTCCATCCGCCGTCCAGTGCTTTCATGTGTCCGCAGTGTGCTAGTTGGATCCTGAGGTTAGTTGAGTCGATTCCTCCAGCATAAGTGGATCCATGGTCACCGTCCCCTCCGCCAGCCTTGGCGAAGTTTCCGCATGCCACTATCCTTGTCTTCAATCTGCCAGCGCCGCCTTTCTTATGGAAAAGCGCCTTGGACGGCAAATACTCAATCACCTTCCCTTGGCTTTTCCACTGATCGACCTGTTCCTTCGAAGTACGCTGCCAGGCACGATGACGCTCAAAGACAGACTCAAGCTCCTCCCCTGTCGAAGGTCTCCACTCTTTTATGTTTTCCAGAACCTCTCGATGTGACACTGATGTCGTTTGAAGAGGTGCTGCGGGCAATGCTTCGAGGGCCTTGGGTCCTGGGGGCTTGGGTTGCTTTTTATTGTTGTTTGCTGACTCTCTCCCGGGATCATCAACAGGCAATCCCGACAACGGAACCCACATGTCCCCACTAGGTATTTCATCCGGATCCATACCCAATTTTCGGAGCCTCGCCTTCAGAACAACCGCTTCGGAACCCTCAACATTCGAGCAGAGCCTTTCAGAGGCGTCCCTAGTAACAATCCACTCTTCAAGTTCTTGTATCCATTCCTTGAGAACAACCAAATGGTCCGTGGAAGCAACCCAACCCTGAGCAGCTGCAAGTTCAAGCTCTTCGTCAAAATGTTTTCGAGCTTCCATTTCCAGCTTCCGCAAAGACATGTATTGCTCATGCAATGTTTCCAGAAACTCTCCATCCTC